TTCATTATGATTGACACCTTTGGAGACAATGAACCGGTGCTTAGATTTGGACAAAATCGCAACCAATCTCTTCATGAGCTCTACATTTCCAGAACCCATAGAACCTAACGATAAGTAAATCAGTTTTCCGGACCTATTCTTAAGACTGTCCGGCACTTCAAACGTGTCCTGATTTCCGGTGCGTTTGAAACAATCAAATCCATGAAAATTGTCGGGAAGTGGTCTGACATCCATATAATCCAGTTCCTTAGGTGTCATATAAATGTTGGCAAAGGGGGATGGAGTCCACATTTGAAACTCTTTGAGTGGCGGACATCCATTGGCAATGAGTTGATCCCTATATCTATACCACATCTCACCTTTTGCTTCATTTATCTGTTGTCTGTATTTCTCCATCACTTCTGTCTCACTATTTGTCGGCAAACCTTATAATCAGAAAAATATTTATATTTTTAACTAATTTTCAATAATACTGTCTATAAGTCATACCTAAAACAGAGGGCGGGAGGCGTTTATCCTCATACCCATAGTCGAGCGATAGGGGGCTATTACTCCAACTGAATACCCAGGGTATACCCGATGTCACTATAGAGGGAAGTGTCACCAAATGGTCGCTAATTATGACATCTGGTTTCAGGTCCGCTATAATAGCCTTCAGGTAGGGCTCTGTCTCTCGGATCTCATTGAACAACACGTCCATAATAATGACATTACAATTGATAGCCTTTTCCAGGGGTGTCGTGTCGTCCAGAATGCCTTCCCGCGACACCTCTTCTACGTTAGTATCGGCAGAATCCCAGACAACCACATCCCTGTCCCCGACCGGCGGCTGTCCAATGAGTCTCACCTCAAACCCAATGGACTCGAGCCGTGACTTCCACTCGCTTTTGACGGCAAACACACAGTGGTGTCGACCGACGTCTCGCAGCACTTCGGCCACACCTATGCTGGACATCGTTAGGCCCACAAAGTTAGCTGGCACAAACAGCACCGTTAGCTTTTTAGTTGGCATTTCCAAGGAGTACTTGTCAGTTATTACAAATAGTTATAACTCATTAGCTTCGTGATAGTATTGTACCCGGTATTTATAGGTCACACTGAAAACTTATACGGTATTAATAAATCAGTAAAAAAGTCCTTAAACTAGTTATCATCCAAAATGTATGTTATCTGATGATATGCTAACAAGTACAAATGAATATAATTTAAGTACACAATAAACTATGCACAACAAAATAATTTATAATTATTTATTATAATTTATAAAGTAGACATTTAATATAATGGAAATTGGCAAATATTACATATTACATTAAGTAGTAAATAGTCGCATGTAATATTGAATTGAATTGATGAATATTTAGAGACCCTGTTCACTCTACCAAAGCTGAAGAATTTAATTCAGTTCGCTTTAAGTGCATTATCAGTGCAAATACGGTATCTTTATTGTAGGTCTGTGTAAATTCAGTACATTTGTTAAAACATTGCTAATCAGATCATAAGTGCCAATCAAAATCTTAATTAGTATAACTTGACTACATTATTACGTGCTGTTCATTTGTTTTAATATATTATGAGCCCTATGAATCATCGAGTCTATACTGTAATGCATAGATGTACAAATATGTACCACAGCGGTCACATTGCTATATGAATATCATTACTAATTTAACATGCTACTCATATTTTGGATGTCTATGCTGTAATGCATATTGAAGTGCAATGATTGCACTGTACTGTACAGTACAGTATAATTATGATATATCAAACTATCAATTAACAATCAAAAGGTTCAAATCACAGAGATTCATATAATTTAACCGAAATTAATTGCACCTATTGTATCGCACTTTTATAACTATTATGTAAGTAATATAAATCATTGTTAGGTAAAGATTGTAAAATTGTAATAATATTGTCTTAGATAAAGATTACTGTAAAGTACACTTGTATCATATAATCAATATTTAACAGAAATTTCACATTTCACCAATAAATAAATAATTTTCTGAATTTTTAATTCTAAATAGAATTTACTAAAATTCAAGTCATTAAAATTGAGTTTTTATTATTTAATCTATCTTATGTTTTTCGACATATAAGAAACAAAATTTTTTATAATCAACTAGAATTATATAATTTTTATAGATACTTGAAATATTTGAACCTGGCAACACTAGGTATAAGATGCAAGGCATATTTATATATTTATATACGAGCAAAATATAAATTTAAATCATTTTAATTTATTGAACATTACAAGTTACAGTATTTGTAAACTATTTTTTGAGACAACATTTTGAATTTTAAATTAATTTTAACAAAAAGTGAGTTTGTATTACATATCGTCAAGTATAATATTGATGATAATAATAACCTAGATACGTTTCTTAAACATAAGAATCGGTCGAATTTTGGGTTCCAGTGATATCCCAAACATTTCCTCCAAAGCCATTACCTCATCATTTGCTGCACTTATTGTATACCTTTGTAGAAGTGATACGAAATACAGGAATACCTCCACTCGTCCTAACGTCTCCCCAACACACGAACGCTTACCTATCAATATAAACACAGAATATTCTTTAAATTATAATTAAAACTAATATAAATTCTTAACAAACCCATAGAGAATGGTATTAAAGCCTCGTTTTTAAGCACTTCTTTGCCATCACTTGTGAGGAATCGATTCGGATTAAAGTCTTGCGGTTTATGCCATACTTTGGGATCGTTATGAACGGCCCATATATTGGCCATAACTGTAGTGTCTTTTGGTACGAAATGACCCAAAACTGATGTGTCCTCCGTTGTGCTGTTATTAAAAATGCAATTAAATGTAAGATTAATATATTTTATAACTTCAAAAACAATATAATATAAAATTTAATAAATAATAATAAATTTCTAAGCATACCGTCTCATCAAATTTAAGGGAATTATAGTTTTGTATCGAAACAACTCGCAAATGAATGCCTGAGTGAACGGCATATGAAG